TGATTACTAGCACAGTTTCAATAATTAAAACATTGCATATTGTTGTCTTAGTGGTTATTCATTGTTGGGGAATTTTTTTTAATTTTTTGTTTATTTGGCGATTGAAATCAGGGCCCCAGTCTTTTTTTTTTTTTTTTTCCTTTTTGAGATAGTTTCACTACACATTTCAGGCTGGCCTTGAACTCACAATGATCCCCCTACCTTTACCTCCCAAGTAATTGGACTATAGGTGTGCACCACCACACCAGGGTTCTAATCCTGAGGTATACCCCAACCCCTAGTTGCGCAAAGTATTAAAAGAACCTTTGTTAATTTATGTCAATAAAATATAATTATATATATATTTCAGTATATATCCATATTTAAAAGTAATTTTAACTGCTAACACAATTTTTCAAAACAATTATACCAGGTTTTAGGAAATGACTGAAAATAGTTATTCATCCATTCATTAATTATTAACAGCACTGTTTGCATATTTTCACTCCTGGGTTATAGTTTGCATCATGTACTCCATTTGCTTAAGCTATTTAACGTTCTCACAACCATCTTCTTCACAAGGTAGTACAGGTGGCATCACTTTGTTAGAAAGAATGATTTTTGCCTGACTTTTATGGTTAAGACTTTAAAAGAATCTGAGTTTAGTAGTCAGCCCTGATTTAATATGCAAAGAACACAATGGAATGAGTCAACCAGATGTAAATTCTTTCTGTTTATGAAACACTTTGGCTGTTCCTAGGGCCTGTGCAGGTACTAGTCACTTGATTTGGTGTGTGCACATTTGTGCACATGCTTGTACTGGAATTGAACTCCAGACATGACACTGAGCTGTGTCCCCACCCATTTTATTTTTCATCTGAAGTAAGAGTTTGCTACATTGCCTAGAATGGGCTCAAACTTACCTCATCTTCTTGACAATGGAGCTAAGACCCAGGTCTTTTTAATTTGAGACAGGGTCTTGTGAAATTGTCCAGCCTGGCCTCAAACAAAAACTTCTAATAAGGCCTAGAGAGTGATAGCCCTTAGTGGCAGAGTACTTGCCTAACACATCCAAGGCTCGATTCAGACTACTACTACAAAACAAAATAAAAACTTAACAGTAGGCTGGGCATGGTGTCCTATGCATGTAATCCCAGCATGGGGGAAGCAGAAGCAGGAGGATTGCTGTAAATTGGACTTCAGCCTGAACTACGAAGTGAGACCCTGACTTTAAAAAAAAAAAAATCTTAATAGTAGTATTGTTTGTAAGCAGGAAAATTGAGTGTCTGGAGCTGGGTTTTAATGAAACATTTTTCTTGCATTCTCTTTCTTTTACTTTCTACCGTTTTCTTTTGTTTTTCCCTTTCTCATTTTTTGTGGGTTTGGTTTGATTTGGTCTAATTTGGTTTGATTTTCTTCAAGCAAGGTCTTGCTGTGGAACCCAGGTAGTCTCACACTCTGTAGCACTCTGAAAATTTTTACTGTCCTGCCTCATCCTAGTATTACAGATGTGCACTGCTGTACCCTGATTTTTGTTTCTTACTCAATTAAAGAGAAAAACATCTCTTAAGTATTTCTCATATGTTACCAGATTAAGAAACTATACCTACTTATCACACCTTTTCCCATTACCTGCACATGTTAGAGGCTGACCCTTTGTGGCCCCCATAATTTTTCTCTGCAACTTTCCTGCTGCACAAAATACCCCACATACAAAATTAAAGGAAGAAAGGATTATTTGGCTCACAGTTTCCACTGTTTAGTGCATGTTGGTTGGCTCCAAGGCAGAACTGGCAGGGTGGAAGGGCACGATGGGGGAAAGCTGCTTAATCTATGGCGACCCGGATGCAACAAGAGAGAGGAGGAGCCAAGGAGGGAGATAGATCCTTCAAAGAAAGGTACACACCTCAGTGATGCCTCACAACCAGGCCCCACCTCCCAAGAGCACATTCAACTGTGAACTCAGTTGTGCATCAGTCCACAAGTGAGCATAACACATGAGACTTTAGGGATACCAAAAAAGTGTAATTGATGAACTTTATTTGAAGCATAAGTCCTTGACTGGATTGGTGATGCTGAGGGTTTTGAGGGCCTCCTAGCTACAGGATGGGGGGTTGACAAGAGGACTAGTCTGTGGTTATTTTGTGTTTGACCAGCCTGACCCTAGGAAGCTGCAGTCCCGAAATAAGTGTTTCAGGGCAGCTCATATCAGAGGGTAGTAGAGAAAAAATACTGGGTTGTGGAATCAGACCCATATCTGAGTATGAACCTCAGTTTTGCACTTTTGATTCATCATCTCATATACCTGCCATGAATGCTACCTTAAAGGGTTGAGGTAAGGATGGAAAAAAAGGATATGTGTAAAGCTCCTGTTGGTCTTATGAGTGATAGTCTTCATCACTGAAAGTTGCTATTACGGACCAAGACCCTGTGTCTCCACGGAAGAGTGGAGTGTTGCCATAGACGCTCACTGTACCGCTTTCCATCCTCTGTCCACAGCCGCTGCTTTGATGGCAGCACCCCAGTCCATGCAGCAGCATTTTCAGGCAGTCAGTGGATCCTCAGTAAACTATTGGATGCAGGGGGTGACCTACGACTTCATGACGAGAAGGGTCGAAACCCACACTCCTGGGCCTTGGCAGCAGGGAAGGATCGCAGCACCCCGGTAAGGGAGGCCCCACTCTGCAGTCATGTCCAGCGGAAGAGCACTGGCCTGAGTCAGGATTGTAGGTGCAACGCACAGCGTGCAGCAGTTTTCGCCTTACATTGAACACATAGACTGGAGTTGAGGCACTTAACATGCTGTAAAACCTTGGCAAGTTAGTAATCTAGAAAGTCATTTGTTGGGTGAGGAGAGAGGACAACACTAATGTTGTTAGACCTCTTTACCTAGTCTTTTCCACCAGTCATGTTGTTCCCCCAATTTTTTTTTTAATTAACTTACTTAAATCTCTCCACAGCCTCTCAGCTTAGTACAGTATTGTTACTGTCCTCATTTTACTCCAGGACACAGTCTAGCTGACCTTACATAACTTGCCTGTCACCGCTCACTGACAGGTGTTAGGTGTTTTAATGAGGGCTAAATAATAGGACAAATGTGAAAGCAAGGAACATGTGAAATGCTAGCTTCTCACATGCAGCCTCCTTCCTGCCCTCTGGTTCTGCTCATTAGCTCTCAGGCCTTGGGCAAGAGATGTTACTCCTCTGTCTCGCTTTCCTCAGCTGTTGAAGAAGGGACTTAGAGGCAGTCTTGGACAAACCTTCTCCTTGAAAATATTCCATCCTTCTAAAGGTCCCCTAACCCCTTTTTCTCCCCTCTGGGAGGTCTGTTGTCCTCATGTCGTTAATGCTTACACCCAAGCCTACATTTATATTGAAGACTGGTGTGGCCAAGATTGAGTGTCTCTGATGTGTGTTACAGATGGTAGAGTTCATGCAGCGCTGTGCCTTGCACATGCAGGCCATCATGCAAGGCTTCTCTCACGACCTTCTAAAGAAGATAGACTCCCCTCAGCGGCTCATCTGCAGCCCACCCTGCCTTGTGGGCCTCCTGCAAGGGTGAGTACTGACTCTGGCACATACAGTATTTCACTTGATCCCCACCCCTCCTCATCGGAGCTCTGTGTCATTGTTTCCTTTATACACCAGTGCCTGTTGGTATCTGGGCCACCCAAAGGAAGAGCTGTGCTTGGAAAGAAATGTGGCCCTTGATAAAGGATGGCCAGAAAAGCATCCTCTTCCCTCTAGAGAATCAGAGGGAAATGGGAGTGAGGTCCAGGGGGAATCACCACATCAGTATAGAGGAGTGTCCCAAGTCTGAGTGGCCTAAGCAGAACACTCTCAGCAGTAAGGAACCTACCTACCACTCTCAGAATTGCCAAGAAAAGTGTTTTCTGCAGCACTATAGTATTTTTTTCCCCAGTTGGAGCTAAAACTACTTAACTAGCATTCACTGGGCTGAAGATGTAGCTCAGGAGTGCATTGCTTGTCTGGCAAGCATGAGTTCCTGAGTTTGATTCCCAGTACCAAAAAACCCCACACCACAACAAATAGCATTCACTGTATGCTTGCTACAGTACATCATAATGGCATGCTCCCAGGTCTCTGGAGCCAAACAAATGTGAAGCACTCTAACGCATCTTCAGAGCTGGGGAGATAGCTTAACAGCGTAAGTGCCTGCCTGGTAAGGGCAAGTTCCCAAGTTCTATCCGCAGTACGGCATGCCATGGAGAACAGGGTGTGGTGGCACACACTTGTAATCCCAGCTCTGGGGAGGCTGCAGCAGGAGGATCACTATGAGTCCGAACTGCTTAGCAAGACCCTGTATCCAAAAACTTAAAATAAAAAGATAGATAGATAGATACATAGCACCTTCAGTTACTGGAGCCCTGGTATGCAGGTGGCATTTTGGGTAAGATGTATGGAGAGACCGTTGGCTGGATGAGCAGCATCTAAGTCTGGTCTCTTCCTGGGCTTTGTTTTTCCTATCATAAAATGAGAAAGTTGAAGAAAATATTCTTTATGAATCTTCTGCACTTTTTTGGGCAGTGGTGGGTCTTTTTGAGACAGGATCTTGCTATGCAGTTCAGGCTGGCCTTGAGCCCACTTTGTAGCCCAGGCTTTTCTTGAACTTGCAGTGATCCTCCTCCTTCAGCTCCCCATTCCTCTCCACTCTTATCATCTGTATTTTATTTTCATTTATTTATGGCGGAACCGGGGATTGAACTCAGGCCCTTGCACTTGCCAGGCAAGCGCTTATTCTACTGAGCCATCTCCCCGGCCCCCCTTATCATCTGTATTTTGTTAACTTCAATCAGTAGATTTTTTTAAAGTTTCATATCCTATTTTATTAGTGAATATTAGTAATACAAATTAATGTACATAACACATTTAGATCATTTTCGTCCTCCCCCAGTTTCACTATTTTTGTTTCAGTGACTCTTTGTTCATAGTCTTCTCCCCAATTATCAATCCTTACACTGTCCTTTCCCTTTTTTTGCTCCTCTTTAATAATAGTGTCTTTTTACATTCTTACTATCTTTTTTAGATTCCATCGATTAGGGAATATTTTTATCTTACAGAATTTCTGTGGGTCAGGACTCACTAAATGGCTTAACTAGTTTACACTGGAATACCTTTTGGAGCTCCCATCATCCATCTGAAGGCCTGACAGATGGAGGACCCAGTTCAAAAATGACATTCTCCCATGACTGGAAAACTGGCACTGGGTATTTGGCTTCTGTTCAGCTGCACAATGTCCTCACGGTTCTCTCAAAGCAGGTGTTCCCAGAGAGATCCAGGCAGAACCTGTTAGCACTTTTGCTTTGGAAGGGTTACTTCATCATTTCTCCAGTGTCTTACTAAGCTCACTGATCACCCTTCTCTGACTGTGAGGATCATGAATTCCAGGTGGTAAGAACCACTGGAATCTCTCAGGGCCAGCTATCTTATTTAGTTATTTAACTTTTTTTTTTTTTAATTTTTAAAATTATGCACAGACGGATTTTAACAACTAGACTGTATTTTATTTATTTATTTGTGTGTGTGTGTGTGGCCAGCTCAGCCCACCAGAGGGCGGGGCTGGCTGGCATGTGGTGCTGGGGGATTGAACTGCGGTCCCTGTGCTTTGCTAAGCTTGTTCTAAGTAGGTGCTTTTGACCACTGAGCCATCTCACAAGCCCATATCTTATTTAGTTCTGTGATAAAAGTCAAGTCATATCATGCTGTTTCAGCAGCACATATCCCGACATTGGGATACAGAGAAGATGAGTGTGTCCCCTGAGCAAGAACAACATGCAAGTTCCTGAAGTATTCCATAGGTAGGGAGAAAGCAGCCGATGTCGGCCACAGTGATGGCTGGTGATGATGTTGACCTGGAGGAGGTGCTTACAGACCTGCGGAGAGGCCATGTCTCTCAGTTGCAGGTTTCAGTGGATGCCCAGGGTATTTACTGTGTTCCTTCTGTAGTGTAAAAATTAAACTCTGTAGAAAAAGTCATAATAACTACACATTCTAAAACTTTGTTTAGCTTTATGCCTCTTGATATGAGTGGTTAATTCTCTTTTTTCTTTATACATTTCTAGAAGTCCTAATGGCTCTCCTAACCGACCTCTTAAAGCTGGAGTCATTTCTACCCAAAACATTTACAGCTTTGGCTTTGGGAAGGTAAGGTGTTGCCACTGACAGCCAGTGTTGTAGGACTAACTAGAAGTCATGTGGCCTATCTCTTACCTTTGTTTGAATCCGTCTCCATTATCCTTGCCAAAGTATTTTTTTCTTTTTCCTTGCCCTGTTGTCCTTATTGACAAATGATAAAAACTCTGGAGAATGCCTGTGGATGACCATGGGCTAGATTTCTGAAGTTTAGAAGATCATGCTTTAATTTTCAGTGAAGGCTCCAAATTCTTGCTTAACAGAGAGGAAAAGAGCTATACTACCCGCATGGGTTTGCTTTCTGGTGATCTTGGCCTCCCACTGGTTTATAGAGTTAGGATGGCTGACATCCTTTTGAGGAGTGGGGATTTTATTTATTTATGTCTTTTTGAGACAGGGTCTCGCTGTGCAGTTCAGGCTGGCCTTGAGCTCACTTTGTAGCCCAGGCTAGTCTGAAACTAACAATCCTCCTGCCCCAGCCTCCTGAGTGCTGGGATTATAGGCCTGTACCACGTCACCTGCCATGGATGGGGATTTTAAACTGAGGAATGTTATGAGGACAGGTAATAAGTTTTGGATCTTTGGTTCTATCTGTCAAAAATAGATGGCTGGGAAACTTTAGTTGGTAGAAAAGTGATGTTTGTGTGGGTAACAAGGGGAGCACATGCAGGAGCATGGGCTTTGTCTACATGTAAGCCCAAGTTCTGTGGGAGTCATTATCGACTCCTTAGTCCCAGCCCCAGCGCTTCAGCAGGCGTATGGCTTCCTGCCTAGTTTCTTTACTAGTAAAAAGTAATAATAGTATAACCTTACAGGGTTTCTAGAAAGATTAAAAATAATGTAAGTCAAAGAATAATATCCAGTGCATAGGGATATTCAGCAAATGAATAAGTAGCAGCTATCATTATTTTTAGCCAGCTGACAAGATTCTGGAGGTATTTTGCTTTTCCTTTTTTCTCCAAGTTGATGCTGTGTTTTGGTTTCAGTTTTATCTCACAGGAGGGACACACCTTGCCTACCTAGGCTCTCTTCCAATAATTGGAGAAAAGGAAGTGATTCAAGCTGATGATGAGCCCACTTTCTCTTTCATCAGTGGGCCTTACATGGCCATGACCAAGTAAGTAAGAGCTGGTCAGTGGGAGGATGTATTTGGTCCGTGGGAACTATGGTGTGACACCCTTCTGTGGACAGTTTCTTTTTCAACACAAGGGGACATTTAAGAACATGTATCTAAATCAGGATTTCAGGCTGGTGAGATGGCTCAGTGGTCTAAAGCACCTACTTAGAACAAGCTTAGCAAAGCACAGGGACCCCGTTCAATCCCCCAGCACCACATGCCAGCCAGCCCCGCCCCCTGGTGATCTGAGCTAGCCACACACACACACACACACACACACAAATAAATAAATAAATTTATTAAAAAAATAAATCAGGGTTTCTTATGTAGAAAAGATGATCTTTTCGCTAGATGATCTTTTGTTTCTAAAAGCATACCTATGCATTGTAGGATATTTGGGACACTCCCTTATCCCTTGTCATTAGGTAGCAGTGGCAGTCCTTTATGTCCCTTGTAGTTGTAACAACCATCTTGTCTGTGCATATTGCGCATATGCTCTGTCAGGCTAAAGGATACTAATGCCCCTGTAGACGATGAAACAGGCATCTTCTGGGGCTCTCTTCAACTAAATCCAGGAGAGAGCAGTAACAGGGTTTGCTTATAGAAAGAATTCCTGGGATTTTCTCTGTCTACAGAGAGGCTGTGTCTGCCAGGTCACAAGAGATGACTTAGCCAAGGTCTCTCACCTTCTTGAACCTGAATGTTTTATTCCTTAGAAGAACCTCCCTCCCTCCCTCCCTTCCTCCCTTCCTTCGTTGCTTAATTTATTCAGTACAGAGTCTCTGTTTAGCTCAGAGTTGTAGTGATCCTCCTGTCTCAGCCTCTCCAGTGTTGGGATTGCAGGCATACACCACCACGCCCAGTTTCAGAGCTGGCACAGCACACCTGGGGTCCTGAGGCCAGCATGGCATGTAGTACTGGGGATCAAACCTAGGTTCCTGAGTTAGCCAGGCAGGTGCTTAGACCATCAAACTGTCTCTCCAGCCCAGACTCACCATTCTGATAAAAAGGCCTCTGCCAAATTTTCAAAGCCCCCACCCCTATCCCCTGGTTTTTTTGTCCATGCCCAGAATTTGTTGATGGGTGTTTTCTCTGTCCCATTGCTGTGCCTCTACCCAAGTTATCACCATTCTTCACCCAGATGGACCCACGACTGGTCTTTTATTCTCTGCATCACTACTGCCTTACCTATTTGCCACGTTCCGGGTACCATTGCATTTCTAAAATGTACATCTGTTCAAGTTACTCCCTCCCTGGAAACTTATAGGACTTCTTGCCGCTACACCTAGTTATCCAGTGTTTGGGGACCTGGTAGTTGTGGGTGGGGAAGATTCATCCAAAGAAATTTAAGAAGTTCTGCTGGCCAGGTGTGGTGATACATACCTATAATCCCAGCATTGGGAGGCTGAGGTAGAAGGATTACTACAAATTAGAGCACTAGCACTGGCTAGTGAGTTCAGGGCAGCCTGAACTATACCATGAGACCCTGTCTCAAAAAAAGAAGAGGTACTGTGGGAACTCCAGTCCTCTGTTGCTCTGGAAAGCTGATTCATTGAAGCCAGGGATGCTGATTCCCTCTGCTTGTATTCTCTGCTTCTTTTGCAGCCTTGTGTGGAATGGGAGTAGAGTCACAGTGAAAAGCCTGAATCTCCCCACCTATCCTCACAGCAACAGCCTGAGGCTGGCTGACTTACTGATTGCTGAGCAGGAGCATAGCAGGTGAGAAGGAGACCCAGGGGCCAGACCAATTACAGGGCCAGGTCTCTAGAGACCCCGATTCCTGGCCATGGAAGATAGTCCATGATATGTGGAGCAACAACCCCATCAGCCTCAGTATTTCCTGACTATTGGAATTGGTTGGCTTAACTTCCAAGGCTGTCAAGAAAAGGGAAAGAGAAATTACTGATCAAGGCTGAGAGTTCGGTATTACGTTGGTGAGGGGCTCAAGTCTGTAAATTCCCCCATAATAATCTTAGATGGCCTTCTCTCTCCCAGCCTCTAGGCCCATCTGTTTTTCCTGTCATTGCCCCTAAGGCTTGCCCTATTCGGGGCCCTGTATTCAACATAAGAGCATGTAGCTGCCGTATTTTCATAGAGCATAGCTGGACATGAGAGCTGTATGTCTGAGAATCATTATCTCTAACCTTGAGTAATATATTAATATTACCCCTTAGTTATCACAGACCGATCAGGCCTGTGATCTCTCAAATGAGTGTGTGGTGAAGGCTTAAATAAAACAGTCAAGTGATAGGATTTGAGGGCTCCAGGATGATCAGAATCCTCTAACAGAATGTGAGATTCTTTCAGGGGTTAAGACAAAGATCTTTTCTGGGCAGCCTATATTTACTTAGTTATCAAAACAAGGGAGAAAAAAACAAAAATAGAACTAGCCAGGCATGGTGGCACATCCCTATAATCCCAGCACTTGAGTGGCAAAAGCGGGAGAATTGCTGCAAGTTTGAGGCCAGCCTGAGCTACATAGGAAACTTAAGGCCAGCCTAAACTACACAGTGAAATCCTGTCTCAAAAAAAGAAAAAAGGAACAAAACAAAACAAAGACAGGAATCTGCTGGACCATTCAAGAACCTTGTAAGTCCTCTCAAGGACTTCTCCAATTAAGACATGTTAGTTTAGGAGAATTTTGTTATTTGTAGGAAGGTCTCCACCCATAAGTGAGATGCCTGCAGCTGCAGTCTTTATCTAGTTAATTGAAGTTAGGACCAAATGTCCTTAGCTGTGGCCTTGTCTTATTCTTTGAGGTGTTCTGGCTTCATTGGCAATTACAGGCTTCAGTCAGGATCGATGCCTCAGAGGTTCACTTACTTTTGATTCCATTTGCCTATCTCCAGACAAGGGGCCTAGTCCTTGGACAGACTGACAAGTAAACCTGGAAAACCAATTGATTAATATTAAATCCTGCTCAGAGCCACTTTGTAGTGGTATCCATCAATTGAGGACATACCTGTCTGTCTTAGTTTGTTAGGTTTCTTCTGGCTGCAAATTTTTGTCCTGAAGCTCCTACTGGGTGGGACAGCCTGCAGTGAATCCAGGCTCATTGAGCTCTCACGTGATTAGGCCATTCAGCTGCAGAAGGAGGTGTCTCTAGAGAGGCCAGTGCTGCTTCTTGGAGAAATCGGCCTAAAGCCCTAAGAGTTTAGGAGGACCCATAGGCATAGTGTGCGCTTTGATGTGAGGCTGAATAGGGTATGTAACATTGGGAAAGTTCCTGACATTTCCTTAATGGTAGGTGCTTCATTTCTAAAGTGAGTATAGGGCCAGCAAGATAGCTCATCAGTCTAAAGCACCTGATCAGGCAAGCTTAGGCAAGCATGCAAGGACTGTGATTCAGTCCCTAGCACAACATGCTGTGCAAGCCCCACCCCCAGGGTGATCTGAGCCAGAAAGAGAGAGAGAGAAAGAGAGAGAAAGGGGAAAGGGAAGGGAAAAGAAAGAAGGATATATTTCTAGCAGGTTAGGGTCTAAAATGATAGGTACAACATAGGCAGAATACTCCCAGAAACATTGTCATTGTTGTACTGATTCTCTTAAGCCCTCAGGATCTGGTCAGTGAGAGTAGCCATAGGTTCCACCAACAGAGACCACTGCACCTTCAACCCATGCTCTTTTCTTAGAAAAAATTTTACAGTGGACTTAAAGGGCCTAGAAGGAAAAACAATACCTATGTTTTCATGATGTGCTTCTACTGTCCACCTTTCTGATGCCTCGTTCTTTTATAGCAAGCTGCGGCATCCCCACCTGCTACAACTGATGGCTGTGTGCCTGTCCCAGGACCTGGAGAAGACCCAACTTGTGTATGAGCGCATCACCGTTGGTACACTATTCAGTGTCCTCCATGAACGAGTAATCAGCCATTTTATGGATCCTTTCTTTCTCCCCCACCACCCTTATCACTTTTCCCTGCCCTCTCTCCTCTGTACCAGCCAAAGAGGTCCCATAGCAAACACATGGAAGATTAATATGTACATCTTTGTTATGGAGCCATGAAATGTACCACTTAATGCTGATATGCACATGGTCAGAAGTAATGTGACATTATTATTGTCAGTCTTTTTTTGTCAGCTAAGAGCTCACCCAGCCCAGAAATACTTGGAACCTATTTTTAGCTCACTAAGCCACTGTCCACTGTCTTTACTTTCCTTCTTTTCTATCAGGACCTGATCAAGACCCCTAACTGTTTGTATGAGGGATATGGGAAAAAGATGAACTAGGGAACAGAAACAAATTTAGTAATGCATTAAGGGGGACTGGGAGGTCAGTGCCTCAGGATAGGCAAAGACTAAGATACTCCAAGCCAGCCAGTATTTATTAGATATATATAATGATAGGAGGGCTTATCGGGAGATTCAAGGTCAATGACAAAATGGGTAATTTTGAGATGACTCAAGAGAGTAGAGATTATCTTATGCTAGGAAAGATCTTGCCCTGGACTTTTATTTAATGGCCCATCGAAGAGTTCATGGGAAATCTCAAAAGGGTGATATCAGTAATTTCAGGCCTCCATTTATCCCTTAAGGAAATATGCAAAATTAGCCATTGTGAATTTGTGGTCCTCAACACTTTTTCCATTTGTGTTCTGTCCTGCCTGGGTTATATAGAACTCTTTTTTTTTTTTTTTTTTTTTTTTTTTTTTTTAAGATAAAAAGCTTGACTAGTGTGCCATCATGCCTGGCCTTATATAGTAGTCTTTATCCCTTCCTTGTAACCAGTCACATTTCCTTCTGGCGAAGAAATACCTTCCACAGCTAATAGGTTCTCAGCAAATCCATGTGGCCTCAGATAGCTCCTAGAGGATATTTCATTTTCTATGACTTTGTTCTAAAAACCTTGAGAGTGAAGAGATACCCTCTAAGAAGACTTTCCTCCCCAGTGGTTTGCCTTCCCTCCTTACTGATGACGTCACACATGTTCTGCTTTTGCTTTTTCTCCCTGGCTGGAGTCAGTGCATTAAAAAGGCATTTCCCTAGAAGAAAGACCTGACCTGGTACATCAGTCTGAGTGAATTTCTGTCTTCTTAGGATGATCTTTCTCATTCTAACTGTGGCAGGGTTGGTTTGGTCATCTGCATTCTGCAGGGTCCTGAGAGGGCAGGTTAACTACTGGTTGCAAGACATATTCCCTGGTAATGTCTACAGTGTCAAGCGTCTTTTCCCTTGTGTTCCTGGCACTTTCTCTCTCATTACAGCGATCCCAGTTCCCTGTGCTGCACATGGAGGTGATGGTGCACTTATTACTGCAGATCGCTGATGCCCTGAGATACCTGCATTCCCGGGGGTTTGTTCACCGCTCCCTCAGCTCTTATGCTGTCCACATCGTGTCTGCAGGGGAAGCAAGGCTGACCAACCTGGAGTACATGTTGGAAAGGTGTGTCCAGCCTTCATTGTGGTTTCCTCCTGAAGGGGTCTTCCTGTGCCTAATCTAGAGAGGACTGCCTATCATTGTTCAGTAAAAATGTCCATCAATGGGGAGATCTTCCAGATTCCTTGCCCTGTCTTCTAAGGCTGTGGAGACTTTGGGGAAGTGTACATCCTTGTTTTAATAAGCATGTAACAAGAGCCCATAGTAGGCAATGCATGTCAAAGTTCTAGCTTTCGGGCTGGCCAAATAGCTCAGCAGATTAAAGCTTGAGAGGCTGAAAACAGGTGAATCACTATAAGTTTGATCTAGTAGTGAGACCCTGAACACATTGTAAACTCTTCCCTAAAATACAAACAAAAAACAAAAAACCTTAACTTTCAATTGCAGAATTTTCAGTGTCATCAAATAACTGAGGTGTATTTTTCCTCTTGCGGTCTGGCACGTGTGCTGAAGAGACACGTGTTCCCTATATCGGTGGGCCTGCCACATCCAGGGCCTCAGTCCTGCATAGTTCTTAACTTTTTTTTTTTTTTTTCCTGTTTCTCAAAATTTTATTGATAAACAGAAATGAGACAGTTTCAAATCAAATCGAAAGTACAGTTTCAACAAGTAACACACTGCATATATTCTTCTTAGAGTTCTTAACATTTTTGGCCAAGGAGCAAGGGAATGTAGATGAGTACACAGTGTGGTTTCGGGCCAGGCTGAGGTGAACATGTCACAGCTGTTCATTTTGCATTGGCCAGAGGCCAATCTTCATAATGAAAGAATGTCATAAAGTGTGTGTTGCCTGTAGGAGAGAGAAAGTGACAGGTGCAGTGAGCCTCTTATATATCATACCTCCTGGATACTAAGTGTTCCCTGCCCTCAGGAGGTTCAGCACAGTGGGAGGCATGCAAAAATAGTGCCCTTATTCCAGGGATAGTTTCCTATGGGACTGGAACAAGAGTCCTCTTGAGATCTTGCCAGACTCTGAAACACAGAGGCTTTCTTTTTTACATCATCACTATTATGCATAGCTCTGAGGTTTTGTCTTTGAGACAGGATCTCAGTATGTAGTTTAGGCTGCCCTTGAACTCACTTTGTATCCCAGGCTGGCCTCAAACTTGCAGCAGTCTTTCTACCTCAGCTTCCTGAATACTGGAATTACAGGCCTATACCACCAGTAATGAGTTAATATTATTAGTTATTACAGACTGATAAAGGCTGCAATTTCCCAAATGAGTGGACAGGGAAGGCTTAATTAAATGAGTCAATTGGTATGATTTTAAGGCTCCAGGAGGTTCAGAATCTTCTAAAGAACTCAAGATTTTCTGGGGGAGGTAAGGCAAAGACCTTCTTTGGGTGGCCTATATTTATTTGATTTTCAAACAAAGAAGGGGGATGCTGAGGAAAACATGGGAATCTGAGAGGAATCTAGCAGGACCTTGGGAGAATATTTTCCCAAGTTTGTAAATGTCAGTCAGGAGAACTACCTTATTTTTAGGTTGACATCTATTATAGAAGTGTGGAGCCTGCACCTGCAGTCTCCTTTAACTTAACTGGGACTGGAGGCAGACATCTTCAGCTTTGGTCTTGTTTGAGGTGTCACAGTTTCACAGGCCAGTACAGGCCTAGAGGTTCCATTACTATGAGTCTAATACCCATCTCCAGACAAGGGGCTCAGGATTTGGACAACACATAAGTAAACATGGAAAGCCAATTGGTTAATATTAAACTATGTTCAGAGCCACGTCATAGTGCTCTCCATCACACGTGATCCCATGACAATCATATGCCTAATTCAGCATTAACCTCAAAGTCACCACAAGGACTCTTGTTGGCCCAGGAGACTTTGAGGATATATTGACTTAGCTTTTAAGGAATCTAAGAAGGTGTGTTTTTCAGGCAGTCAGTGAACCTTTGAGTGTTAAACTGAGAAGATCCATTCCCAGAAGGACAGGAGTAGTTCTGGTAAAGAAGATGGGTCTTGAGGGAAATTTGTTTGTTTTTTAGTCAAGGTCTCACTGTGTAGTTCAGACTAGCCTTGAGTTCACTATGTAGCCAAGGCTGGCCTGAAGTCCTGGCAATCCTCCTGCCTCAGACTCCCAAGTGCTAGCATTACAAGTGTGCTGTGCCACCGCACCCAGACTTGAGGGAGGTTTTGAGAGAGCCTTACGTTGATTTATTTAATAGCATAAGGCCTCTGGTTTACAACTTGGAGATACAATGCTATAGTAGACTACTAAGGTGCCTATTTTTAGAGTTGACTATAGTGGAAGGGAAATAGATGATGCAGTAAATAAATGAACAAAAGAAATTCACGTAGTAAGTGTTCTGAATCCCCTAATAATGGACTACTTTAGACTGGGTGATCAGAGATTGCTTTAGTGAAGAAATGATTTTCAAATGAACACCTATATCACAAACAGCCAGTTGTGTTAGACTCTATGGGCAGAGAATGCCAGCAGAAGAGGCTGCTGGTACAAAGATTTGAGGTGGTGGTGCACTTAACATGAAGGATGGAGAGATGGCTCCTGTGACTTGGGTGGAGCCAGAGAGCCAGAGATAGTGGCCAGATGAGTCAGGGCAGGCAGGCCCTGGATTGGCAGGGATGCTAAGCAGTTACAGGTCCTGGAGTGGCACTGCGGCAGTGTGGGTTAGCTCAGGGTCTCACTGCATTTCCAAAGGTTCAAGGAGCTTTTCAGTTTTTACAGCAAATATTTCACCAGTGCACTGTGTGGTGATCATAGTGTGCCTTTAAGACATGATCCCTACTTTATGTGCTTCCTTCCATAGCCAGGACAGTGGTGAACACAGGGACCTGAGTCAAGTTCCCCTCCCCACCGAGCTGTACAGGTGGGCTGCACCAGAAGTGATCTTTCAAAAGGCAGCCACGGTGAAGTCAGACATCTACAGCTTTTCTATGATCATACAAGAGATTTTAACAGGTGATGAAGCAGCATATTGACGGAACATGTAGGTCATTGGTAGAGCACTTTCCTGGTATATATATATGGCCCTGGTTTCTACCCCAGAACTATGAAAAAAAAATTATTAAGTAAAGGAGAAACACCACACCCACTGAGTAAAACCACATTCCCTGAGAGAGTAACCAAGATTCCACTCCCTTTCATAGTATTTGCAGTCTCAGAGACAACACTGTACTTGTTCTAAGGTGAATGCATTGAGGTACTCAGCTGAATGTCATGGAGCATTCCTGTGTCCCCAAGGCTGCCAGGGGAGAGTCTGTGTACACTTGATAATAACAGTACTGTTTTCTGTCCCTCTAGCAGGGTTTTCCCTGGTAGATGATTAAAGTGGCTTCTGATATGTGATTGGCCTTCTAGGTAGTTTTACTTCAGAAAAAAATTAGTATGTAAAGGAGTTGTATAGAACTACACCTCATTCTTACAGTTGTTCCTTCTTCTTTTTCCTGACAGATTCTGTGCCCTGGAATGACTTAGATGGCTCAGTTATTAAAGAAGCCATCCTCTTGGGAAATTATTTAGAAGCTGATGTCAGGCTTCCAAAACCTTACTATGATATTGTTAAGTCAGGCATCCAAGTTAAGCAGAAAGACAGAACTATGAATCTTCAAGATATCCAGTATATTCTGAAGAATGACTTAAAGGCAAGCCCTGAAGTTCTTGGGAGTTTGAGTCTGCTTAGCCATCTTGGGATAGTAGGCAGTGAGAGAGCAGAAAGAATCTATAAAGACCAAGCCACAGAAAGCCTTGGGATCCCTCACTTTATTATACTTTATGTGTTGCTCTAAAAGCCTAACTGCTTAACACCGTGTAGATAGTAGGGATTGAGGGGTGGATCTGAGGTGTTAACACACAGTAGGCAGGGTGCACCATGGGATTCAGTGAATGGCAGCTGTTACAAGGTATTAGAAATACAGTGAGGCAGCCAATAAGTAGCTGATGCAGTGTACCAACAAGAGGAAGAGGGAGCTTACCCGAAAAGGTAGATGGGTTTCTACCAGTGGCATTCAGAACATTGCAGATATTCCTTTGATGACATTTCCTGTGTCACAGGAGAACACAGGAGCACAGAGAACTCAGCCTGTGGAGAGCCCCAGGATGCAGAGATGTGAACCCTATCCCGATGTTAGTGTCTATCTAGGACTGACTTCAGAACACCCAAAGGCAGGTGCAGACTTGGAAATCAAAGAGCTAAAGGAATCAGGTATGGCCTCAGCTTATCGGCTAAATAACACTTTGATGCAATGTATTTCAAGAGTCACATGAGCTACAGTTAATCAACTTCTTTATACATTGTAACTTATGCTGGGAAGATAATACTTTGGGGGGAAAAATTAAGATCTTTAAAATCATTAAACTTTTTAGAGGGCTGTCAAGATAGTTCAGCAGACTAGGCATCTGCATAGGTAAGCATAGGGCCTGAGTTCTATTCCTGGCACCACATGCCACACCAGTCCCACCCCCCAGCACGCTGAGCCCGCCACCAAGGCCACCGAGGCAGGCATTGTGGCACACACCTGTAATCCCAGCACTAAGGAGGCTGAAAATAGGATCACTATGAGTCCAAGCTTTGTAGTGAGACCCTGTACCAAATTCATTTAAAAAAAAACAAAACTTTTTGTATTTTATAAACACCTAGTTTGAATGAAGAACTAAGTGGTACCCATGAGTTTATTGCTAGAAATACTCTTTTTCTTTTCTTTTTTATTTTTTTTCCTTCCTTTTTATTTATTTTGTTCTTGGGACAAGATCTCATTGTGCAATTCAGGCTGATCCTGATTTCACTATGTAACCCAGGCTGGCTTGAACTCACAGCTGTCTTTTTGCCTCAGCCTCCAAAGTGCTAAAGGCTACAGATGTGCATCACCATGCCAGGCTTTTTGCCTATTTTTTTTTTTTTTTTTTTAAGAAACTGTTAGTTTTTTTGGCAGCAGAGAAAAAAAATAGGAGAGATAAAAGAGGCCTTTCTTGACTCTGCAGAAACCGAGAGAATGGAGGGAAATGGGGGGATTCCTCTGACCTGAGGCAGTGTGAAGCTGACACTTACGGACTTCTGTGGGAGACGGAGTTGGAGGGCCAGGGTTAGTGATACATACAGAGCTGACTGGGGTCTTCCTTCTGAGGCAGGAAAAGTGAAAGGAAATTGTATCTCAGACTGTGTTGGGGAACAGGAGAGAGGTGGTCTCTGGGAAAATAAGGTGTTGTTTTAAGGGCTTCAGCTGTGTTTGATGACCACCATAATAATTCAGCAGTTCATACTAGGGCTGGAACCTATCAGAAATCATCTCAGAAGGGCTGACTCTATAGCTCAGCAGTGCAGTGTGTACCTGGCAAGTGCAAGGTCCAGAATGTGATTGTTGTTACCAAAAAAAAAAATCAACTTACTATGTACTATGCCTAGCCTTGAACTCTCTGTGTAGTCCAGTCCAGGCTGACTTGAAACTCAAGATACTCCTGTCTTAGCTTCTTTTTTATATGCTGGGATTTCACATTTACATGACCATCTGACTATGATTATTCTTAAGATTTTATATAATTGTTTCAAAACAACAATGGTAGTTTAATTTTTGTATTTATACCACTACCCTCCTAACTAGCCTTGCACCAGCCAGGCGTGATGATATATACTTGTAATATCAGCTAATCAGGTGGCTGAGGCACAAGTATCACTTGAGCCTAGGAGTTCCAGGCTGTTGTGGGCAACTTGGTGAAATCTGATCTCAAAAAAAAAAAAAAAAGAGGAGCCAAGGAAATGGCTCAGTGGAATAAGCACTTCCCTGACAAGTGCAAGTGCCTGAGTTCAATCCCCGGTTCCACCAAAAAAAAAAGGAAGAAAAGAGCCCCCTGTCTTCATTTTGGAAATTGAAACAGTAAAAAGAAGAAAGGTTCTGTTTTTTGTTTTTTGTGTGAGGTTTTTTTTGTGTTTTTTTTTTTTTTTTTTTTTTTTTTTTTTTTTTTTATTGAACTCAGGCCCTTATACTTGCCAGGCAAGCACTTATTCTACTGAGCTATCTCCCCGGCCTGAAAATTTCTTAAATTTTAATTTTTTTTTTT